CACACACACACACACACACACCACACACACACACACACACACACACACACACACTCATACTTATGCCTTGACTCCCACAGAGTCTAAAAGTGGTAGATTCTTTTCTTACATAGCATTTCACTGTATAACTCAGGCCTGAACTTCTGTTCCTTGTCCCCCAGCCACAACCTCTAGAGTGCTGGGATTGCAGGGGTGTGAAAGCATGCTGGACTAGAAGGTGGGAATTGAACTGGATTTGGAAGTATAGGTGGGATGTTGACAGGATGCAGGGTGAAAGACAGAATAGTTATGAGTCAACAGATGATTGAGGGGGCCGAGGAATTGCTTCATTTTCCAAGATGAGCTATGACAAGACCTCGTCTCTGGAAATCACATATATACAGAGGCTTCTATAAAGTTAACAATTCTTAAGAATTTATTCACACGGGGCCTTTTTATTTGGACTTTCTGTGTCCTGAGTCTTGTTGGTTTTCAAGCATGCTGCTTGCAGATCTTTCCTTGTATAGGATGTGTGGGAGAGGAGCCAGATCCAGGTCTTGCGATTTGTTCTTGCTGCTCATTGCTGGTCCGGGTGTGTGCTGCTCACCTCCATCCTGTGTGTCCAGACTGCTTCAGCTTGAGAAGGAAGGCTTTGGCTTAGCTGGCTTTCCGAGATCTCTTTCTGCTTCAAAACTTTGAAAATTTGATTTACTGCATTTTGGATTAGCCGGGAACAAACTTATCTTTTTTCTACTGTCCAAAGATCTCCTTGGGCTCTAATAGTTGTGAACATCCCAGATAAAGCTTAAGGAAGGATGGGGCCCCCAGTTTGGGGGTGTAGCACTCCATGGCATGGGAGGCATCGTGGCAGGAGCTGATCTCACCATGTCTGCGGTTAGGAAGCTGAGGGAGAGAGATGCTGGACTGCCTTTCACTTTCTCTCTTTCCTTCAGTCTGGGACTCTAGCTTATGGGATGGTGCTGCCCACATCCAAGGTGGGTCTTTCGGCTTCACCTAGACATTTTGGGAACACCCTCATGGACACCCAGAGATGTGTTTCCATGGCAATTCTAAATCCAGAGAAGCTGACAAGGGAACTTGATTACACTACCCCACCACCCTTTGGGGCTTCAAATGGTCAGGTCACGCTTCTCTTGCCTTAGTGGTCATCAGCTCCCAAATGAAGCTCCTGTGTTTAGGGAATCTATAGGCACACATTAGGTGTGTGTGGGGGGAGCAGAGTTCTGCCCTGTCCCTAGTGAAAACACTCTCTGGAAATACCCGGTATCAGACATTACACTTCAGTGTGAATTTAAACATAGGATGCTGTCTCTCTTGTGACATTGTATGCTATTTTCCCCTTACTAGTTATGGTACAAAGGCTTCTCCATGTCCCCAGGGTTTCATCCATGCCCCAAGTGTGGGCGCGTGTGAAAGGACAGCGTTGGATGCTCATTCTGTCCACTGAACTTGCACGTTTTCTTCTTACTCATCAACTTGCCATAGCGGTAGCCTCGGGTGGCCTCATGGTTGAAAAATATAAGGAACCAGCTCCATCAAGTGGCTAGTGAGGAAATGCCATCGAGGTGGGGCTGTGCCATGAAAGCTGGGGTGTGCTAATCAGCACCCCAGTTCTGGCTGTGTCAGCCACCTTTGCCTTATTACTATGGAATGCTTGAGGCAGCTGTCCTACCAAGAGATGAGTTTATTGGCTCCATAGTCTTAGAGATTCGGAGTCCAAGGTTTGAGGCTCCCACTGGAGTGGCTCCTGGTGAGGATGGTGGATGGTAGTGAATCACTGCAGGCCTGCAGGTGGGACTGAACGGTGATTCTTCAACTGAGGAATGGGGCAGAGAAGACAGGAGACATGGGATCCTACAACCTTGCTTTAGAACAGTCTCAGTGACCTAAGGAATTCCCATGAAGCTCTACCTCTCATTTATTTTAATA